AAAAAAAACTATGTAGTAAAAAATATGTAGTAAAATCTGTTAAGCCGGTTAAGTGTTATCACTGTACCGCCGTGATGTTAGGCTATGCAAAACATTTTTTTACGTGGATATTGGAACGCGAGTGAAGTACATAATAAATAATAATTTGCCATTCAAATAGCCTACATCGCGAATACGGAAACATTTGATTTTGTGTGGAATGAGAGACCCAACGTTGGTTTCAGTTTAGTTTTAACCTAAATGAATTTGTTTTGGCTTGTCATTTATATTGCTAGCTTCTTATATTTTTAATTCTTGTTCTTTTCTAAATACTGTTAATTGAAAGGATTTGTTGTGGAGTGAGGGGAACTAAAATAGCCTAGCTATGTTTACAGTGTTTATTATAATGTTTGTAAACATTTCGCGTCGGCATTAGGCCTATTTCTGAATGAAATAATAAAATGCGACTTAGACGTGACTTATGTTTTTTTCCCCTAAAAAACAAATTTTTTATACACGTAGCGTATTTTAACTATGCAGCAAACAGTTTTAAATATTTTGATAAATTACTGAAAATATTAATAATTCAATTACTTTTTAAACCGTTTAACATTGTATTAATCGGTCAAAATTCTTGGTTAAGCGGTTAAACGGTTAAAATGAACATCCCTAGATTAAATACTTCCTCAGTACCGTAAATCCTATTTAAGTGGGCAAGGTGAATTACTGAACAAGACAAATGTGTCTTTGTTAAACCACCAATTAATCAGGATTGGGGTTTAAGCACACAGTCTTCAACCCGAAACAGTTGTACCGCTGGCTCAAGGCACCATAATTACATTGCTGACCAGCTCATTTGCTTTAGTGGTCAGTGGAGTAAGCCTAGTCACGGTGTGAAAGTCAACAAATGAGGCCTCTGGCCCAGAGATAAACACTTTCCAGACATCAAACAGACCACAACCTGAGCGACCACAGACCTGGAAAAGGCCAATTAGGGTTGAATATAACACCTCCGCAACACACATATAGCATCAAATTGAGTATTGAATGAATTTAGCAGAATTTTTTCGGGATACCGGCATTCAACATATAATTCAATTATATCGATAACACTTTACAATAAGGTTCATTAGTTAACATGAACTAAGAATGAGCAATACTTCTACAGCATTTATTAATCTTAGTTAGTTAATTTTAGGGTGCACGATTAATTGCATTTGCGATAATATCGCGGTATGAAAAAACACGATTTTTCAATCGCAGAGACTGCGATTACACTCGGTCATGTGACACGCCAGAGTAAAGAGGTGTGTTCCACTTGAAGATCGATCGGTGTAGCCTTTGACATCAAAGTACAGCAAGAGAAAGCATATGGAGA